CGCGGCCACCCCCCAAATGAATTCGAACTTGGAGACAAATGCAACTGCTAGCACTTGTAGACAACCTGTTCATTCTGACAAGGGTGACAATAAGGAGGGTGTGGCATCAGCTACACAAGCTCCATGTGAAGAAGGTTTGGGGAAGTCCATGGAACTGGTAGTATCTCAAATGGCAGTCGAGGAGGAAAGAGAGGAAGGAGAACATAGGGAAGAGGTACTGGAGAGGCTAGAACTCATGCCCATTACCGAAGAGAAGCAGAACCAAAAGGAAAATACTGAAGTTATTGAGATGAATTTGAATGATAATAGGAGAACCTGGAAAAGGTGCTCTGCCAGAGTAGGGAGGCTCATGAGGAACCCTACCATATCAGAGAACAATTTGGCTATTATTGGTAGTAAAAGAGAGAGAAATGATGATCTGCAGCTTTAGGTCATGGAGCACCAAAGAGATGAGGAGAATCATAAGGAGAAGAGAGTCAAGCTATCAACAAAAAAGGTGGAGAAGGCCAGCCTCAAATGACCCCACAGTGATCAATGAAGGCCATGGTATGGAACTGTAGAGGGCTGAGTGGGCCCTCTACAGTTTCTCAAATTAAGGATTCAAGAAGAATCCACCACCCACATCTCATTTTCCTATCTGAAACAACAAAAACAAAAACTTTTACTAGAACTATTGATAGGTCGAAAAATGTGCACGTTTTATATATTTAATAGTGTACTCTTATACACTTAATTTATTCGCACATTTATATTTTTCGACTTATTTATTATTTGGATGGATTCATATACTTTGTGAAGTGAATAAGATTTCACCCAGGCTCCTTCAACTCGAACGACCACCAGACCTGCAAGAACCCAACGCCGGGAGGGGTCCCGGCGTCGGGCCTCTAACGCTCAAGTCAGTATCACTCCAAATCCCAAGAGTATAATTATGAATGTAGAGAGAATGAGAGAATGGAATACCTTTGCCACCTTTTATAGGGGGAGTGTACCTTATGGCCCAAGTTGGGCTTGTCCAATAGCATCCTGCCACGTGTCCTAGCCATGTGTAGGCTTATTCTTCAATATATTCCCTTTTTATAAATTAAACCCGGTCTAGCATAGTATCCTATGTCATCTAGTCCCCCCACTCTGGTCGAGTAAACATGACTCGATCCAAGAGTGAAATTCTTCTTCGGGTTGTTTCCGTCAACCTGCCACTGAGGTTATAATTTAAATAAATCATCGACCACCAAATAGTCACCAAACCTACAAATGAGCATCGGGACCCCAAATGAACACCGAATGACCACTAAGGTCAAAAACTAAAGGACCCGCCGCTGAGGTCGAATACCGAAAGACCTGTCTCTGAGGTCGAATATCGAGAGACCCGCCGCTGGGGTCGAACACCAAAAGTTGAACGACCACTGAGGTCGAAAATCGAATGACCCATCACTTGGGTCGAACACCAAAAGCTGAACGACCACTGAAGTCGAAAACCGAGTGGCCCGCCACTGGGGTCGAATACCGAGAGACCTGCCTCTGAGGTCGAATATCGGGAGACCCGCCGCTGGGGTCCAACACCGAAGGCTAAACGACCACTGAGGTCGAAAACCGAATGACCCATCACTGGGGTCGAACACTAAAAAGCTGAACGACCACTGAGGTCGAAAATCGAGTGACCCGCCACTGGGTCGAATACCAAAGTTGAACGACCACTGAGGTCAAAAATTGAGTGACCCGCCAACGGGGTCGAACACCAAAAGCTGAACGACCATCGAGGTCGAAAATCGAGTGACCCGCCACTGGGGTCGGTCGAAAACCGAGTGTCCCGCCACTGGGGTCGAATACCGAGAGACCTGCCTCTGAGGTCGAATATCGGAAGACCTGCTGCTGGGGTCGAACACCGAAGGCTGAATGACCACTAAGGTCGAAAACCGAATGACCCATCACTGGGGTTGAACACCAAAAGCTGAACGACCACTGAGGTCGAAAACCGAGTGACCCGCCACTGGGGCCGAATACCGAGAGACCTGCCTCTGAGGTCGAATATCGAGAGACCCGCCGCTGGGGTCGAACACCGAAGGCTGAACGACCACTAAGGTCGAAAACCAAGAGACCCACCACTGGGGTCGAACTTTGATTCCTAGAGCGGATTTCTATGCTCCTCATTTCTATGCTCCTTTGCTATCTCCCGATCTGCTTATTTTCATGGATTTTCTCGATCTCTTCCCAAAGTCTTGAATTTGAAAATTTGAACTCACGTCTATTGTTTCTCGACCACCATGTTCGAGCTCTCTTCATTCAAAGATAAACCTTTCTTACCACCTCGTCCTATCATCGTCCCCTCAGTTCAAAATTTGAAATTCAGCCCTACTGTTTATCCTCTCGAAAACCGGATGTCCTGACACTACACCGAAGTCGAAAACCGAATTTCAACAAAACCAAATAAAATCATCAACCTGAATAACTTGGCTCCATGAACTGCTCCGAGTGAACTCCCTCGACCTACCTCGGAGGTCGAAAAATAAATTCGACAAAACCACGATCAAGTAAAAATCATCGACCTACCACCGAGGTCTTCGAATAATCTCCACGAATTGCCCCAAATAAACTCCCTCGACCTGCCTTGGAAGTCGAAATATAATTCGACATAACCAAAATCAAATAAAGATCATCAACCTACCACTGAGGTCTGCAAATAAACTTCCTGAGTTGCTTGAAATGAACCTCCACGACCTGCCATACCGAGGTCTGCAAATACACTCCCTGAGTTGCTCGAAGTGAACTTCCTCGACCCGCCACTGAGGTCGAAAAATAAATTCGACATAACCAAAACAAATAAAACCATCAACCTGCTCGAGCTATCCGTAACGAGCTTCATCGACCTGCTCGAGCTATCCGTAACGAACTTCATCGACCTTTCACTCCGAGGTCTCCAATAGGATCCATGTCTTCACCGACCCAACACTAGGATCGACCACACAGCCTGGAGGCCTTAATCATGGTGGATTTTTGTCTTCGAACACATGTCTACCCTCAAAGAAGTGGTCGTTACATGCGACCACCCAGCCGGAGGTCTTAGTCATGGTGGATTTTTGTCTTCGAGCACATGTCCACCTTCAAAGGAGTGGTCGATACATGTGACCACCCAGCCCGGGGGCCTTAGTCGTGGTGGATTTTTGTCTTCGAGCACATGTCCACCCTCAAAGGAGTGGTCATTACATGCGACCACCCAGCCCAGAGGCCTTAGTCGTGGTGAATTTTTGTCTTCGAGCACATGTCCACCCTCAAAGGAGTGCTCTATACATGCGACCACCCAGCCCGGAGGCCTTAGTCTTGGTGGATTTTTGTCTTCGAGCACATGTCCACCCTCAAATCAGTGGTCGTTACATGCGACCACCCAGCACGGAGGCCTTAGTCATGGTGGATTTTTGTCTTCGAGCACATGTCCACCCTCAAAGGGGTGGTCGTTACATGCGACCACCCAGCCCGGAGGCCTTAGTCATGGTAGATTTTTGTCTTCGAACACACGCCCACCCTCACCGGAGGCCTTAGTCATGGTGGATTTTTGTCTTCGAGCACATGTCCACCCTCAAAGGAGTGGTCGATACATGTGACCACCCAACCCGGAGGCCTTAGTCATGGTGGATTTTTGTTTTCGAGCACATGTCCACCCTCAAATGAGTAGTCGATAAATGTGACCACCCAGCCCGGAGGCCTTAGTCATGGTGGATTCGAGCACATGTCCACCCTCAAAGGAGTGGTCTATACATGTGACCACCCAGCCCGGAGGCCTTTAGTCATGCCAGATTTTTGTTCGAGACTTCAGGTACACCTCATTCTCTACATTTTTTTAGTCACTTGAATAACCGTTATCACCCAATCTAAGTCTATCGTTAATTAATTTCAACGCCTTCTTTAAATTGCTAACGAATTACCAATCCGAGCTAACAACAAGCTCTGTTAACCGAATTTTCCCTTACCGAGTACTTAATCGAAATAAGCTCTTAAACTAAACCTAACTAGTGAACAACCTAGAATAAGCTCTCTAGATTTAATTCACTAGCAACATTAACCTCTAGGAAAATAGATCAGTCTAAGCAATGGACGCAAAAGCTCGGACCATTTAACTTATGTTCACGCTACCCTAGAGATGCACGACCCCTAGTTTACTACTAATGAAATGAGACAATAACAATTACGAATTAAAGTCCCAAATCTAGCAATTAAACTATGAACATTTAACGTAGTTGGCCAGACTAAACCAAACACCATAATTCATAAACATTAAACACAGATAGCATGAATCAACTCATCAACAAAAATAAATATGGCGTCTTGATTAATGAACGATAAATATAGATCATTCAATCCATCGACAAATTGAAATTAGGATTCAAACATCCCTACTAGACAACAGAAAGAGATTATTTATCTCCCTCGTATGCGGGTGCGGCTTCCCTCCGCGTGTGTAGCCTCTTTTCTTGCTCTGCTGCGTTTTTCTTCTCGCTAATTATGTTCCCCGCTCTGTTCTACGTATGGTCTCGTAAATAATGTCTTATGTGCGTGTATATGCTCCCAGTCCTCCCCAAAAATCCTATTCTCCTTAGAACTTCTCCACCAATCACCCCAAAAACTCAATCTCCATGCAATTCACGCATGTATCTTTTGGGCTCAAACACTTTATTTATTTTTTTAAGTAAAACATGACAAACCCATTAAATAATGAAAGTGGGCCTAATTAATGTTTACGTGAACTCCCGTCCAATGCTTCGCCATCCACAAAATTACTCCAATATGCTGAAAATAAACATAAAAATATCAATGTATATGAATCCATCCAAATAATAAATAAGTCAAAAAATATAAATGTGCGAATAAATTAAGTGTATAAGAATACACTATTAAATATATAAAACGTGCACATTTTTCGACTTATCAACTGTTTGTATTAAACTGGGTTCCAGACTAGATGGCATTTGGTAGAACCTACAGGTACCAGAGGTGGCCTTCTTCTCATGTGGGATCAGTCTATGGAAATCATGCAAATTAATGGAAATGATTTTTGCCTCCAAATAGAAGCTAGAGGCCCTGGCCTTAGTGATTGGTGTTGGTTGATTTTTGTATATCTGAGTACTGACAGGGATCATAGAGAGCAGCAATGGGAGTTCTTATATGACAGGAAGAGAACTTGGGGATGTTGTTGGGCCATAGCAGGGGATTGGAATGACATAGTGAGTAATGAGGAGAAAAGACGAGGTCTGCCTAGATCTGAGCACAGTTTTTTTGCCTTTAGAGAGTTCATTATGAGGATGGAAATGCAAGAGCAGGATTAGAAAGGTGCTTTTTTTACTTGGGGGAACAACAGAAAGGGGGATGGATATTAGGGGTGTTCACGGTCTGGATTGGTCCGGTTTTAGCCCAAACCATGACAAAATCGGACCTAGCGGTTAATTTTTTTTCTTGTCTATAACCGGACCGGTTTTATTTTTTAACCGGCCACAATTCGGACCGCATTGGACGGTCCAGTTTGGCGGTTAACCGGTTAAATCCAAAATTCTTGTTTTGGGCCTTCAATTTTTATTTTTTTTTTTATTTTGGGCTTAATTTTTATTTTTCAATTTTGGGCCCAAAAGAGATTATTTGGATCTAAAAATTAAGAAAAATAACAATAATGAAATTGAAGGAAAAAATAAGTCGAAAATAGGTCGGGGAACTGAGAAGCCTAGAAGTGGGAAGATGGAAAAAATTAGGGTTAACTCAAAAAATTAGGAAGAGAAGGTGGGAAAATCTGAAAAATGAAAATACGAAGGTGGGAAAAAGTGAAAAGTTATAGTGTCTTACAAAATTAAGTCAACAAAAGGCTAAAAAGTGAAAGTGAATGTATTGTATTTGTCGGCCATAGTGAATGACTGAATGTATATATATACTTGTTATAGTTTTTAAATATTTACCGGTCTGGTCCAATTAAACCCACGGTTTGCCGCAGGTAATCCGTTAACCGGATTGGTTATTCCGGATTTTCAAAAAAATTAACCACCAGATTTTTAAGGCTTTTTTAACTGACCATTTAACCGATCCGTGGTCCGGATTGACGGTTTTTTTCGGTTAAAACCGGATCGTGAACACCCCTAATGGATATGTTGAGGAGAGGCTGGATAAAGTGTACACATCCATGGAATGGCTGCTTAAGTACCCTAAAATGGAGGTGTCAAATTTCTACAGATGTGCATCTGATCACAATGTCCTCCTATTTGATACTGAGGTGGAGATAGTAACAGCTAGAAAAAGATTCATGTTTGACAGTAATTGGATTAAACTAGAAGGTATAAGTGAAGCTGTAGAAAAAGGATGGCTGGGGGATATTGAAGGCTCAGAGATGTTCAAGGTGCACCAGAGGGTAAATAATACAAGAATGGCTTTACTGGCTTGGTATAAACCCATTAAGAGGAATAACAAGAAACTGATTCAGGTGCTGACAGTTGAGAGCTGAAGGAGGAGACACAAACTGGGCCGAATGGGGAACTGATAATGCACATAAAGCGGAAGAACAGTTTCAGAGGATGAAGTCCAGAGCATTAAGGCTAAAAGCTGGGGATAGAAATACCCGTTTCTTTCATGCTTACACAACACAAAGAAGAAATAGTCACTCTATCCAGAGATTAGTGACAGAGGTAGGATATGTTTGTGAGAGCAGGATCATATTGTCATCTTCTACTCATCTCTTTGTCAATTAGAGGGTTCTATCAGGGGAAAAGAGCTACTGCAACACATTCTTCATTCCATCTCAGATGCTACAAACAACGACCTAATCAAGCAGGTTAGTGAGGATGAGATTCATGCTGCCCTTTTCAATATGGCCACTGAAAAGTCTCTAGGGGAAGATTGTATGTCAACCTTGTTTTTCCAACATTTCTGACGTTTACTGAAAACTGATATTTGCAAGGCTGTTTCTAGTTTCTTCTCTTCTAGGATTACACTTACGAACTGGAACCATACAGTGATTACCTTAATTCCTAAGGGCCTTTAGCCTGAGCACTTGAGTAATAACAGGCCAATTAGCCTCTGTGGAGTCTTGTACATAATTATAGCTAAGGTGCTGGTTGAAAGACTTAAGGCATGTCTCAATGATTGTATTAGTGAAGCTCATACAACATTTGTGCCAGGGAGATAGTTTCTAGACAATGTGGTCCTTACTCATGAAGTATTCCACTTCCTTAACAAACACAGGACATGGAATAATGTGTTTATGGCAATCAAACTGGATATGGAGAAAGCATATGACCGAGTGGAGTGGAATTGCATCAGAATGACTATGAAGAAAATGGGGCTTCATGCCAAGTTCATCAGATGGATAATGGCCTGTGTTTCAACCTCATCTTTCTCTTTCAGCCTGAATGGTAGTGTTTGTGGTTTTATTACCACAACCAGAGGAATTAGGCAGGGTGATCCGCTATCACCCTACCTTTTTCTCTTGGTCTCTGAACTTTTTTCTGTTGTCTTGGCTTTCAGTGTGCAAAGGGATATATTCAGGGTATCAAACTGTCTAAGGAGGGTCCTATGATCACTCATTTACTCTTTGCGGATGATGCATTCATTTTCTGTAAAGTTGATGAACACCATGCTAATCTGTTGATGATTTTGTTAAAGAAGTACCAGGATTTTGCAGGACAGAAGGTCAATCTCCATAAATCATCTATGTTTTTTAGCAAAAATTGTCCAACAGCTACCCAAGAAAGAATATGTTCCAATCTAACTTGGGTGATAGTAAAGAGATCTTCAAGTTACCTAGGGCTCCCCATGGGTATGGGTGCCTCTAAAAGTGAAGCCTTCCAATTTGTGGTGGATGCAGTCAGAACAAGAATTTCTACCTGGAAAAAAAATCAGTTTCTATCTACTGGTGGGAAAGAGATTCTGGTAAAAGCAGTCCTAAATGCTCTCCCGGGTTTTGTGATGTCATGTTTTGTTTTGCCAATGGGGATTTGCAAGGAGGTCTACAGGCTATGGCTGAATTTTGGTGGACGAAATGTGAGGGAAACAACAAAGGGATCTACTGGCTTGCATGGGATAAGATGACTTGGTCTAAACAGAATGGTGGTATGCGGTTTCAGAACATCAAGTTGTTCAACAGAGGTTTAATTTTAAAGCAACTGTGGAGGATCATTGAGAAACCTGACCTGATGATTAGCAAAGTGCTAAAGAATAGGTACTTTCCTTCTTGTTCTATTTTTTATTATGGAAAGAAGTCAGGGGTCTCATGGTTGTGGAGTGGTCATCCTTTATTCCTTGTCTGAAATCTCATATGAGCATTGTGATTAAGAATGGAGCTGTTACCATGCTGAATGACTTCAACTGGTTTCCTGATTTAAGGGGATGTAAACCTGAACTAAGAGTTCAGATTGATGGTGAATAGTTCAGTGTCAAAGATTTGATTTTGGCTAGCGGTTGTGAATGGGATGCTGTGCTTGTTAGAATCATGTTCTAGGCAGAGGTGGCTGAGAAAATCTTGGCTATTAAAACTCTCAATCCCAGAGTTGCTAATATGAGAAAATGCACTTTTGTTGACAAAGGGAGTTTCTAAGTAAGGAAAGCTTATGCTGAGTTAACCTCTGAGGAGTTGTGTAAGATTTCACTGGCGAAAACTAGAAGATTGGCAGATGCGAATAAGAGAGCAATGATGAGATGCTGGAACCTCATAGTGGTTGGTAAGGTGAAGCACTTTATATGGAGATGCTTCTCCAATATCTTACCTGTCAATTGTAACTTGAAGAATAGAGGGATGCAGTTGGAGACCATTTGCCATAGTTGCGGTGAGAAAGAGGAAACAGTGGAACATGCTCTGTTCTTTTGCTCCAAAGCTCAATTGACATGGAGACTAGCAATAGTGCAATGGAACAAACCACAAGAAGAAGTAATCACCTTTCAAGATTGGTGGTGGTGGCTGAGTTCTATGGATTACAAGGATACATCTAAAGACTGAATTCAACTATCAACATACATCTTATGGTGGTTATGGAAGGTTAGGAATTTATGGATTTTTTATAACAAATGGAAGACTGCAGACTGGATCATTGGTAGGCAATGCAAGAGTTGAGAGAATTTCCAGAGGCATAGTCAGAACAGAAGGGTGTATACTAGGTCTCGTGTTAGTGGTATATTTCCTTTTGGGTTATTGTGGTAGTATTGGGATGTATCTTTGTGTTGTCTGTGATCCTTCAGTTTGTTTGAGTGATTCGATATAGTGCCTATGTATTTCGTCTAGGTTCATGTTTCGTTTATGAAAATATGTTGGTTCTGTACTGAAACATGTTGGTATTCACATCACCACGTTGAATCCAAAAAATTGATTAATTTTTTTTAAATAATATTATATTTATTGATGTAGAATATATATAAATACATATAAAGAAGAAATAATTATTTTTATTACATATTCTCAAATTTAGAATATTAATTTATGGGTATTTTTTATAAAATATATTTTATAAATTATAAGTTACTTTTATTTTATGAAACTAGTCATCTTTAACGACAATCTGTAGTTATTGTTCTTGTTTACTTGTTTACTTTTATGTTATTTGTATAAATGTAAAAGACCTATTCAACTTGAGTTGCATTCTTGATATATGTTATGTATCAACTTTGTCCGACTAAATTGAGTATTGAAATTAAATATGATTAATATTATCAATATTTGGTTCATGTAGTGCAAATAATGAAATCGTTTTTTTTTTTAATGAGAATATATTCAATACTATATGAATTAGATACTACATTATTAATATATTCATGTACGAAATGATAATATATTAAAAATACACGGTGTTTCATGGTATAAGATATTTATAACATCCATATACCCTTTAAAAAGGCTCATATATTGCACATTTTTTTTTTGGTACAAATATATATTGCACATTTAACTTAAAAGCGAGCTACATTCCTTTAATTATTTTACTAATATTTTAAGTTTATGTGAATATTCTATCTGAAAATAAATTAGATGAACATAGACAAATAGGCAATAGACCTCACGTATGTTGTTTGGCTTTTTATACGCGTTTTAAGTGAAGACTATTATTGGCTCACGAGGCCTTGCTCACGTAACAAAAGTCTAGATTTGGACTGTGAAAACCCAACCTTGCCTTCAAATTCATTTTCAAAAACCACTGACCTGAGTTTTGTACATATTATATAAATCCCACGCACAGTTAGTTTACCCATTTCTCTTTGAAACTCCAATAACAAAAGAACACAATAAAATTTTGGAAAATGGAAAACCAAAACTTGGTGCTGATGAAGCTCTCGAAACTTTTCCCATCTTCCTTACTCTCTTGCAAGTCCCAAACAGTAGCAGATATTGTCGCAGATAACTCCATTCCCATCCCCAAACCCAAGAAAATTCCCGACCCCAATTCAGACTTGGAAGGACGAAAATGCCCTCCGGTGACCCCAGCCTCCACAAATGTCCCCAAAAACCAGAGCTCGTCTTCCAACAGCGGCCGGTGGTTCACGAGCAGCGACGAGATGAGAACACGCACTGCCGACAGCGACCCATTTTACAACTCCGGCGACTCCGTCTTGCGGCGGCGCCGCCACGCCGCCGCCAGGAAGTGCGACGAGATGAAGAGCATAGACGAGAACGGGAGATGCTCCTTCTCGTCCCTTGAGGAGGCGGCGGCAGGGTCGGATCTGGCGGCGACCCGCCTCTACTATGAGAGCGGCGGCCGGCGCCGGAGGAATCGCCGGAGGACTCACCGGNTGCTTTTTGTGGGATTCTGTACATGGTTAGTTTTGTTTTTTTAATTTGGTTTTTCACGTTTGATTGGATTTGCTTGTTTTGCATCTTATTTTATTTTATATGCTTATTTGTATTAGGAGATGCTAATTAATTTGGTACTTGCTTAGTTGGATCGGGCTCTTTTGAACTGCCAGTCCTTCCCTCCGTATGATGATGTAAGTCATTTTCTACATACATTTTTTTGTGTGTAACGTTTGAGTGTTGGATGAACTTAATATTCATATTTGTTTTTCTTAGAAATGGTCAAGGCTGTGAAAGAGTTCAAATTGATTGAGCCTTGGCCACTACCAGTTTTAAGGCAGTTCTATAGGAAACCTAAAATAAGATCACTAGCTAGAAAATAACAAAAAACAATGTCAATGAAATACAATTCCCTTTAAGACATGCATATATTTTGTACAGTAATGCTATGGATCCAATGGTTGGCTCCTTTATTGAGCCAACCACCAATGTTATGGTGCCATGTAGGTCTTGTGAAAAAATAATTAACTCCACATGGCCTACGTGGCACTATAACATTGGTGGTTGACTCCATTATGGAGCCAACCATTGACTTCATAGCATTTCTCATATTTTGTACGAGGGCCTTTTTTTTCATATAAATCCTTAGATCTTATTTGAATTTCAAGTTCAATCTCTACCTCTGTTTTTCGTCTACTTCACTCCCTTCCACTTTCATTAAATAATAACACTATAAAATTTTCACAATACCCTTATATCTATTTTACTCCAAGAAAATAGTACCAGTTTATTTTGAAATCGTACCTCTTTAATAGGATAATAGCGTCTACTTTATTAATTAGCAGTACATAGTCTCTTAGTCCTTGAGATTTACTCTAAAGGGTGCCTTGAATAAATTGAACAATACCAGGCCCAACATGTTTCCATAAAATTAAATAATTCTATAATTTTCGTACCATTTTTTACCAAAATGGTTTCGGGTGAGTGAGTTGCAATTCCACAAGTCGGAAAATTAGTGCCTCTAGTTCGTTTCACGGATGGCTCCTCACTGTCTAACTTCACCAATGGGAAGATGAACTAACAAGTTATCTGACTCCTTCAGACACCACTCAACACAGTCTTTGTTCGTTTCCTACTCCAGGCGTACAAGAACTTAATTATGGAGATAGATGAAAATTATGACAGCATGTAGTGAAGCAAAAGACCCTTTTTATTATGAACTCAAAGAGATTTTATCATATAAGTAATCTTCTTTAGAGAGGAGAAATTACTTTTAGTCTCTCATCGTGGAGGCGTAGATACAAATACACATAAAATTTTTAAAAAGAAAATTACAACTCAAAACACTCAGCCTTTCACAATCTATTACAAAGATTTTATTAAATTTGAAGGCTGAAAAGAATGAGCAATGTCTTTTGCTTCCTCAAGCATCCTTTTATAGAGGGCTAACATCCTCTATTATTGTTTCCACCGACGATCTATGAATGCTTAGTTTTATTCACATGCTTTTGGGTCCGGGTCCTTGAATTATTCTGCCACTTATTAAAGGTGATTCTTTCTTCACATGGTGGGGTCCATGTTGCCTCCCCGGTACCTCTTATGACTCGGATTTTCATCAGTTTCTTCTCAAAAGAGAATATTTCTCTTTTTATCTTGACCCTATCATTATCATGATACATATCTGGTTGCTTTACTTTTGGGGAGTTCATTTTGAAATTCCTTTCTTCTTCTTCGAATTATCCTTTTGCTCCAGGAATTCTCTTTTAACCGGAATAAGTTTTTCGCACATTGGTTTCTCCTGGCTGGGACAATGTTGACAAATATGCTTGTGCCATTTTAAACCATGTAAGATATTGCACGCCTTATAGCGTGCATTCTCTGTCGAAGCTAACTTGTTCTTTCATAAGATTTTTTTTTTTTTTTTTTTGCTTTTGAACAAGTCATTAGCAAATTTTAAAGCAGTTGCGGTTAATGAATTAAGTAAAATAATCCATTCGGGGAATTTTGAAATAATTTGAAATGATCCATTTCAGTAAGACATACCCATACTCCCTAAGCTCTTCTCACCACAATTTCGTCCTATGTCATGGAGATGTATAATGGAATTGCCTCAGGCATCTTGATCTATTTTAGGTTCCACTTATTCGACAATTGTAGCTTAATAAAATGAAAAGCGGCATGCTTCCCATAATCACTTTCAGGTTCTAGTGCTGTGGAGATGAACTTGAGCTCTAGAGTTTCTCCTCTTTTTAAGTATGGATTATATGACCATGAATCATACACAACCTTAATAATACATTTTAGCATCCCATATACTTCAGTCAAGCCCAGTGCCACCGTAAATATTGAGGCAATCGCCCCATAATTTGCCCACTTCCTTACTGCGGTTGGATTAGCTCCTTCTAGTGCCCATACTCGTCGATATAGTTTGGATCCATCAACAATAAACCTTTCAGGCTTAATGCCTCTTCTTGTTATTAAGTCTTCCATGGTAGAATTGTATTCTTGTAACGCAGTAGGCCGAATAGGATTTTTGTTTATGTCAACCTTTTCTAGCCTGTTTGGGGCCTTAGATTGGAATCTCCCTCTTTAACCCCGGAGGGGCTGGGTTGACTATTATCTTTGGATTTTAAATCCTCAGTCTTAGTATTTTCAGGATCTGAAGAAAGACTTTCGTAGGCAGAATCTTCTTTATCAGGTAAAGGTATCTGATTTTCCTTTTAAGGTTTTGAAGCTTCCTCATTTTGAACTGTCTTTTGCTTCACCAATGGTGGACCTACCCTTCTAAGGGGTTCTTGAAGTGCATCCCATAGTAGAGTTTGTGTCATTCTAGTCCCCGTGATCGTTGATTCAACCTTATCCAGGTCGGGCTGCTGAATATTTCCAGCTACTTTGGCATTAATCCTGAGTAGCTCGAAGCTTTTGAAAACCTCCTCGATATTTTCTCTAAGATGCCTTACCCTTTTGATGATTGTGTCTGATTCTGACATCTCCATCTCTTTCTTAAAAATATAAAAGAATATTTTCATGAGATTTGATAATTACAATATCGTAATCATAATACTAGCATTTAGTTTTCTACCTTAATAGTCTTGCTTTTCTGGTTTGGATTCAATTTTATTTTTCATTGATATTCCATCCGTTTGATTCACTTTCAATGAAGAGGCCGCTGTAATATCGACAAGGGAACTTCTCCATTAGATGTGGCTTTAGTTAGAACTCTTGCGCACTAGTGATCACTAGCATCTGTATACAACACTAGTTCATCTTCATCTTCTGGAATTGCCAATTTTGAAAGTTTATTACAATCTCCTTTCAGCTGCTTGATTCCATCCTCTTGCTCCTTAGTCCATTTGAACTCGACGTCTTTCTTTATTAATGGATTGAATACCTTTCTGCATTGTGCAAGATTGTTTATAAACATTCCTGCAAAATTAACCACTCCAAGGTAACTCTGGAGTTTCTTCTAATCTTTGAGCACATCTGGTAATCCTTATATTTTTTCTACAATGTGATTTTGTAGAATGATCCCTGATTCATCGATCTCGGTCCCTAGGAACTCGATCTGTCTTGTTGCAATTACTGCCTTCTTTTCTGGAAGCACCGATCCTTCTTTATGGAAAACATCCGAGAATATCTCGAGGTGTTTGAGATGTTGCTTCATGTACTTAGAAACAATAAGAATATCATCAATATATACAAACATGAAACTGAAATAATCTTTAAAAAGATTATCCATTTTTCTCTGAAATATTTTAGATGCATTTTCTAGCCCCATAGGCATCACATTCCAAATGTAATGTCCTTGTGGTGTAGAAAAAGTTGTAAACATCTTACTTTCTTCCTCCATATTGATTTGATAGAATCCTGATTTACAATCAAACTTTGAGAATATTTTGGCATTTTTAATTCTATTTACCAAATGTTCTCTGCTCGGAATATAGTATCCATCAAATTCTAGCATGTCATTATTCCCTTTGTAATTAATTACTAACCTGAGTTTCCCTCCCTTTATTTTTTCATGATTTCAGACTAGAAATCTAGGACTGCTATATGGGGAGCTCCTGCTTTGATCAACTTAAGGTCTAGATGTTCCTTAAGTATTATATACATATCCTTACGGTCTTCCTCATTCATAAGGATGGGTATATATCTAACAAAGTCTTGTTCTTTTCTGTCCTTTACCTTTAAAGATAGTTTGAACTCATTTTTATTCCACCAGAACAGAGGATCTTCATTGAAATTCCTCTAAATTTTTCTTTTTACATCTTTCAATGAGATTTGTTCTTTTAGCGTTATTTCTGGTTGCATGCTCTTGTCTAGGCCTACCTTAAGGAATTGAATGGTCTCCATTTGTATTCTTTCTTCCTTATCTGCGCCTTGACTTTCTACTCTTAATTGGAGGATTCCTCCTCCATATTTTTTTTATCCTTTATTTTTGGGTGTCGAAGTTTTTCTTCTTTATCACCACGTTTGCTACGAAATTTAATCGACATTCTTCTGCAGAATGCTTCTCGTAGCCTTTGGACAATGATCTTATGATCATATAAATTTGTGAAAATAAGTCTTCTTTTCTCATTTTCCTGAGTAAATCTTTTGAAGGTTTGTAGGAAATTATTTCCTTGCAAAACATTTGCTCCCGTATCATGATAATAGATTGGTGGAGTTTTGATTTTGTACCATGGGGTGTCCTATGCTCTTCCAATCATAATATTAGCTTGCTTAATTACTCTCTTCAGGATGAGGATCCTTTTAGAGAAATTTCTTCCCGCTATAGGGGTTAGGTCTTCCCTCATTTCTTCTGGAAACACTCCTTATTTTGCTGTGAAAATCCTTGCTCTTTAATTGATATAGGCTGCTCCGATCGGAATGTATATAGAGAAAGGACTAGTTGTCATCTATATACTATACCTTCTTCCATTCACTGTAAATTCCATTCCATCTTGTAACTTTTCCCAAGGTTTATGTGTTTCAAGGAATTCCAATTCTAGAACGAGTTGTTCTGAGATCCTACTTGCTCCTCATGTGATCGTAGTTTCTATTTCTCAAATCTTTCAGATTCCTTCATATTGTCCCTCTATCGGTTGTTAGAGGTAATATAATGCATCACAAAGAGAGAGATTATCCTTTTTGTGTTATATCGAACATTATTTCTACTGACCTCCATCCTTGAGGACATCTAATCTCTCCACTTGTTTAATTACCTTGGAGTCCTTCTATGTATGCTTGTCCTTTGTTCCTCTCAACAATTATTCGATCTTGCTAGAAAGACATTCTCCTTGGCTCGATCATGAGACTCTTAGACCGATTAAAACTTTGGCCTATCTTGGATTCTCATATCGATTTCGCCAATTGTCGGATTGTCGGAGCTCTACCCATTCTATTTTGATCAGAATCGGAAGATGAGGCTCTACTACGACTTGGGGTTGATCGTTGTCCAGATTTGTAAGTCAGGGCCTTTTGTTTCGACCAGTATATTTAGGTCTCCATGAGGACCTATTTTTTTAATATCCACGGGAATAATCATTACTGGTATGCCTTCTTCTTTTATTTGTCAGTGGTTTACCTCCAATAATTTTTGGAATGTCATTTTCTTCACAACACATAGGAACTGTTTTGTTGATTCCCCTAAGTCGTTTGTAATTTTTGTGCAGTGCAACTTGATGACACCATTCGGACAGTTTTGCCTTAAGAATGCATCCTTCTAGCCACTGTATCCACATCGTCCATTTTATATTGTTTGATTAACATTTCTCTCCATGGCCTGGATATCTTTGCAAAAATTTATTGTGATGCTTCGGAGTCCGCTACCTTGGACGTCCATCGATACTCCGTAAATAGCTTCATATATTCATCTACATGACAAATGTCATGTAACTCCAAGAAATGAAGGGCTTTCTTGTATCTCCTTTCTTTTTCTTCCTCTACTCATTCAAAGTATCACGTGCCGATAACTAATATTTTGAGTACATTAACAAATTTATCGACTATTCCTTCTAATGATTCTCCAGCTAGCTATAACCTCTCCTTTTACCTCTAGAGAAGCAATATCTCATGCAATTTTAACTGAAACTTCTAAGCTTATTTCGAGAAGTGAAACAAACCCTTCTTTATTGAGATGCAACGTTCCTCCAGCAATTCTTACGGTGGAGGACAAACATCGATAAGGATGTCACGATTTTAAAATTTAAGGTGTCTAGATTCAACATTATCCATAAGGATGAATAAGATCTAGTTATGATTTGCCATATGGAGTATTTTGAAGGTTTGGCCTTCAGGAACGCATTCGGGTACCAGTCGGATGCCTACATTCTCATTTTACATAAAATTCCCTTTGATATGGGATATTATATACTCAAAAGAGTAAATCGGTCCACTAGACCAGCCAAACGGATCTAACACAGGGAAAGCCATGCTGGTCGAACGGTATTGAGAAGAATGGTAGTGGTCGAACAATACGAGAATCAAGTAAGAAGAATCTCGGTATAGGGGTGTATGTGGGTCTAGGGTCCACGAGGAATCTAGTCGAAGATCGACCTGTCGAGCAAGGGATCACTTAATCGACCAGTTCACACACTGAAAGCAGTCTGAGGATCGACCTAGACAAGAGGGAGCGCGTGAGCCTTTAAGGGAGTTTCAGAGGAATATTCAAGGGAATATTTACCCCATGTGCAGAGGACACATGGCGTAAATATATTGGTGTATGGTGGTAACTGATTCTGACACACACACACTGTGTGTGTACGAACAGGCAGGCCCGGGCAGCTTGGGGTAGACAACTAATCAAATTTGGTCTCACCCCTATATATATGGGGGGTGAGCTTTTCTTGTTGGACACGATTTATCCATTTTTACTCTTGAGAATTGAGTAGAACAAAACACTGACTCAAGCATCGGAGGCTCTTCACCGAAAAATCCCTCCGGTGTGAGGGTTCTTTTCAGATACACGGCGTTCTACCGGCGGGAATGAAGGAGGCGAGCCAATTTCTAGCCGGTCAGAGTGTTTGATGTTACCATTTGGCGCCGTCTGTGGGAACTTTGTTCGAAAAGTGGTGTTCTAAGGTTGTTTGAGCTTGGTGGCTATGGCGGACGCAATTCCCAGGATCAATTTGCAGCCATCTTTCACTGACGAGACCGTTTGGAGAAAGCCCTCCTTCGGGTTTCTCCAGACCTATACAAACACCGGTGACCCCAACACCTGCTCCTCAAGGTTTGGGGGCCCCATCGGTGGTTCTAGAAGGAGACGTGGGCTCGAGCCGTGCTCAGGAGGCTCGTGCGATGCGAGGGACAACGATTCTAGTGCCGTTGCAGCCAGATCTAGCCGAGGCCCAGCCGTTAGAGGCGGTGGTGCAGGGAGCAACACCATCAAGAGTGGAGGAGCAACTCCTCAGTCAGTGAGTGGTGATGACTAGGCAGGAAATGCAACAGATGGTGATGGACGCGGTTGCACAGGTGGTGCAGGAGGTTACAAACAATATCTCTCATACGGCTACTGCACCGAACACGGTGATAGGCGCACATCACAATGCGGAGAAGGACGTATCTAGTTATGGAGGAGAAGGAGCTCCGAGGGACCGGAAGATGGAGAGGATTGCCGAGCAGTTGCGTCAATTGCAGGCCAAGGTGGATGGTCGAACAGAAAGGCGTTCTCGAGGAGGCACGAAGAGAAGGAATCGTTGCGTAAGTATGTGGCTCGATACAATCAAACTTTGTTTGGAGATCCCAACCACTGCAGATGAGGTCAAAGTAGAAGGATTGATAAGGAGTTTACGAGCAGGGCCGTGTCGAACTTCTTTGGCTAAGACCCCTGCTCGTACGTATGACGAGGTGTTGAAGAGGTGCAAAAAGTATATCAATCTCGAGGAGACGGAGGCGGAGTTCACTAAGTTGTAGGAGTTGGCTCGCCCAGAGACAAAACCTAATTGGATAAGCCCATATTTAGCACCTCCTTAAGGTCCCTAATGTAGCCTAGAAATACACCATGTCCAAACCTCGTCCCATACACATTGATAAGCTCGATTTTAAGGTTCTATTAGGAGAAGAAAAATTGAGATCTTTATATATTCGAGAGTTCGGGAGATTCGATTATTCGCACCACCAAGATTAGTCGAAGTAGGTGTTTTTGCAATACATTTGAAGGCTTTAAGGTACAATTTATTCAAGCCTTTTAATTATGCAAATCTGGCCACCTACAACCGTCGTCCACCGCCGAAAATCACCGCCACCGGAAGCCACCAGCCTCAGTCCTCGCACGCATAGGATACGTGCAGCGCACGCCCACGTGGTCCCAGACGCCCGCGTGCCAGTCGGTGTCAGCATTGGGAGCTGCACACACACGCGCACGAGGATCCCGTGCACCTACCCGCGTCTGTCCGCCTGTCCGCTTGTCTGCGTGAACCAACAAACACCCGACCATGACCTGCACTTAACCAACTGAGATGCACCGCCGCCGAGCCACAGCAAGCCCAAACGAGACCAACCCCTCCCAGCCGAAGTCCGACCGAGCCCATCCGCGACCTGACCGAACCCATCGCCTTCCGACAGGCCCGAGCCCGACGAGCCCTTGTCCCGGTGATTTGTTCGTGATACAATGACTCGATTAAAACTGAGAAAGGCCAAGTCTGGCAGCCCATCGGACTCTTGTGTTCAGACGATCTCTATAACGAAAATCAAAAACGTCTCAGAGTCGGCAAAATTTTAATCGGTAATTTCCTAACCCTAACTATAGATTCCGTTGCGTTAGTTTTATTTTGCCAAATTCAAACGTGCATGTCATTGACGTTCCTAACAGAACCCAACACGGAGGACTACCTCTCTTGTTGACTTGACGTCTTCATCTGTGATAACCCGAGGATGACCTACAACACTCGTGGCTATAGTCCTCACATCTCTCGACTCTCTTATGCAGATGACATCATTATCTTCACTCGTGCGGATGATGATGGACTAGAAGAGCTTATGAACCTTCTGGAGCACTATGGCTTGATCACTGGTCATCTCGTCAGTGTGCAGAAGAGCACCTTCATTCTCTCCCCCTATTGCGGACCAGTGGGCGCAGCGGGTCCATGGTAGTACGGGTTTTTCTCACGACGACCTCCCCTAACCTACCTCAGCGCCCCTCTATACAAGGGCCATCTCATGGGAATGCTCTTTTTAGACGTTAGATAGAGGATGATCGACTAGATCTCTGGTTGGTCGCATAGACATCTCTATTTTGGGGGTCGGCTCGCGCTAATCAAAAGTACCCTCTGCGCCCTTACAATTAATCTCCTTATGTTCCTCGATCCCCATAAGTCCACTCTCCATGAGCTCCATCAAATAATGACTCGTTCTTTTCAAGGACACAGGGGCGGCTCCCGTTGAGGGAGATAGCACCACTTGGTGAAGTGGGACTTTGTTTGCCGGTCTTTTTCCGAGGGTGGCCTTAGGATCTGTCATGTTTTGGACGTAGTCACCGGCTTCTCTTACAAGATATGGTGGCGCTTCAGGGAGGGAAAGTCTTTTGGGCTCAGTACCTTCGCGAGAAGTACTACTCTAGAGGTGTCTGTCATCTCTGTATAGTGAGTCCACCAATCACGATAGTAGACAGTGGAGACGGCTCACCTGAGTAGGTAGGCATGCCCAGGAGCACATCTTCTAGACGCTGGGTGAGGGGGATGTTAGCTTTTAGGACAAGTGGTGGTTTGGTGGAGACCCTTTTTCGAGCACTAGGCAGATCACTCACTCCTTTTCCTTGAGGGTGAAGGACTTGTGGACCAATGGGACGTGGGATAGGGACAGGTTGAGAGGTTTTGGTGTACTCAAGCGGGTTTTAGTGACCATTTATTAGAGCATATCAAGCAGATTCTCATCTCGGAGGACGGTTCAGACGGTATGAGGTGGAGACTTACATCTTCTGGTGCTTTCTCTACGTCCTCGGCTTGGGGGAAAGTACGGCAGGGTGACCAGTCTAACCTTCTCTTCGGGGCCATTTGGACCAAACTGCTTACCCCGACCATCTCTGTCTTCCTTTGGTGCCTTTTTCTGCGCCGGATTTCGATTGAATTTATGTTGCAGGTGAATGGGGTATCCTTCCTCTTGCAGTGTTACTG